GAATGGGTGTTTTTACGTAAATATTATCGTTTAAAATTTTATCTTTTAAATTATCATTCATTTTTTATAAATTTTTTTGAAAAGACGAGAACGATAAGATATGTCTTTGTCTTATAAATGTCACATGTTGAATTAAAATGCATACTTTCGTTGATAAGAAAACCAAATTGAATCATAATATTTATTTCAACTGTTTGAAAAAGGTAAAATGGTTAATTCCCAATTTAATATATCATTTATTTTTAGTTGATTATGTCTGCAGTTATAAACCCATCGAAGTGCCAAAACTAGTATTAACAATTAAATCCAGAAGATTTTTTAATTGTGAAAACCAAGAGATTATTACTCCAATTATAAGTGAAAACAACTAGAGATGAGCCAATTTGTCATAATACAAAGACATTAATAAGATTACATATTTCACAACTCAATGAGAAGAGGAGAGAAAACATATATGAAGAGCAGCAGACACAACAACAGATTTAGTGTCGCTTGTTTATTTTAGGTAAAAGGGTAATTTTTGTCCCTTATAATAGACCTAATTTATCATTTTCATCTCTATCGTATTTTCGCATCAATTTAGCCTTTGAAGTTTTTCAATTACATCATTCTATACCTTACCCTTCACTTAAAAGGGTTAGAGTTATGGAGTTATGGTTTAGGTTTTACGATTATCAACTTAAAGTTTTAAGTTAAGAGTAGGGTATAACATGATGCAATTAAACAATTTTGAGGACTAAATTGATGCGAAAATACGATAGAAATGAAAATGATAAATTGAGTCACTACAGAGGAAAAGACAAAGGTGACCCTTAAACCTTTATTTTATAACCGAAAGTAAAGAAGAAAAATCATCGTGCTCCGTAGGCTTCAAACGGGACTTGGTTTTTCATGCTATCAGGATCCATAGAGATGCTAGTTGAGCCATCATAGCCAATGCCACTGTCATACGCATCAAGCAAGTGTTTAGTCTCTTCCTCTTGTAAGTTGCCCTTTCCCCATGAATGTTTCTCCACAGCCAGCAGTCCTTGTAATTCAGAAGCAACTTCCTTCATGCTTGGCCTTTCCTCTCCCTTCAGCCTCACGCATCTCCTAGCTATAGCTGCCACTTCCTTAAGCTGCTCAATATTGTCATCGTTCAGTATTTGTCCATCAAGAATTTCAACCAACCCTTCCTTTTTCATAACACAAACAAAGTACAATGACAAATTCCTCTCAGGCTCAGGTCTTTCAAAAGAAATCGCTTCCAAACCTGTTAGTAATTCTATGAGAACAACCCCAAAGCTATAAACATCACTCTTCTCAGTCAATTGACTCGTTTGGAAGTATTCAGGATCCAAGTAGCCCAGTGTTCCCTGCACAAGCGTTGTTATCTGTTCTTTGTTTGAAGGGACCAACCTCGAGGCACCGAAATCAGATACTTTGGCATTGTAGTTCTCATCTAAAAGGATGTTGGTCAACTTTACATCGCGATGAATGATTGGCGGAGATGCAGAAGAGTGCAAATAGGAAAGGGCTTCAGCGGCTTCTATGGCTATTTTCAAACGAGCTTCCCATGGCATGACCGAGGCATGAGCGGCATTGTGCAAGTGATGGAAGAGGGTTCCATTTCTTACATATTCATAGACCAGCAAAGGGACTCGTGTCTCCAAACAACAACCCAAGAGTTTCACCACGTTTCTATGGTTGATTTGGGATAACACGATGACTTCATTAATGAAGTGTTGGACCTGGGTTTGATCTCCGATGATGGATTTTTTAATTGCGACGTTGCGACCATCAGGCAATGTTCCTTTGAAAACAGTACCCTGACCTCCTTGTCCAAGGATTCTACTTTCGTGGTAGTTGTTGGTGGCTTTCTTGAGTTGTTCGACAGTAAAGATTTTAGCAGTTTCACCATACTTTGAAAGGTGTTCCCGCAACAAGATTCCACCATTTTGCTGAAAGTTTTGGTGTTTCAGTTTGGGAGCTTTCTTTGCTTGAGCCCCAAATACAGCCATGAGGAACACAAGAGCGAAGATACAAGACTTATGCCTACACCTGTGATTACGAGCCAAAAACATTTGTTGACCATTATTAGTTGGGTATTTTGCCTGTAATTATCTAACATGCTCATGTTTCTTTCCTTTTGAATTTAATATTGTTGCACAATAACTTATATAGTGAATTAGTGATTTTTAACGAAATAAAAAAGAAAAAATAACAAATATATTAGCTTTCATTGGTACTAACCTAGTGAAACAACAAGGATGGGAAATCTCTGACGTCGCGGCTTGGCTTGAAGACTGCAACCTGTTCCGTTTTTCCAGCCATCACCCTCGAACCCTTCGGGGCATGAACAACTATAGCTTCCAGCTGCATTATGACATGTTGCACTTCCACTGCAAGGCTTTCGTCTCTCGCATTCATCAATATCTACTCATATGCAAACATTTTATATAATCAATATATATATATATTTATATATAAATATATACATATGTACAGAAATGAAGAATCTGGTATATTTACCTTGACAGCCATTTGTGAGATAAGGGTTACCCTGAAAACCATCAAGACACTTGCATAAATATCCAGGACCATTTTCTGCATCAATACAAGCACTATTTTGCTTGCAAGCATAATTCTGTGGATCCATTTTAGCTTCCGTGCAAGTTTGAAACCCGATTGTCCAATCAAGTATCATCGGCAATTTCTTGTGTCTGAAATCATCGCTGTAAAGATCTGAAACAGAGAAGTTATAGGCTCCATCTTCCAGAACAAACCCATAGCTGCAAGGATTGAAGCCCAATATTTTGGAATGATTGTTAGAACTATTAAAAGTTACATGATAACTCTTCACTCCTTTAGGGATAGCCGTCTGGCAGCAGCCGATGCCGGAGCAAGACCCGTTAATCACATCGGCGATGTTGTTACAAAACGTTAAACATCCGGTCGAATACGTATCTCCCTGGTTATCCTGTACGTAAGCATAGGTATCACAACCAATGGCTGTGAACTTGTTTCTGGTGTGAGATATGGGGAATTTCGCGAGGTTCATCCACTTATCCGAATATGAACTACGGCCGGTTGAGTTGTAACAGTCGTAACCTATGGACTTATTGATGCGCAAATATCCATCCAGAGAGATGTGGACAACTTCAATTTCACTGGTGGTTAAGAATGCTTTCGGAGGGTTGAAGGTGGTGTTACAACGAATGAAGAAGTTCCTACTGATATTACAATCGGTATTGCCGGTTCCAAATGGGTATGGGATGCTGATATTCCCGCAGCTGCTTTGGCACCCTGCTTTTGCTTGAGCCGCCACTGAGATTGCTACAACTGCTAAGGTAACTGCAAACAGAGCAATCTCCTTTAACATACAACGAGGAGCCATGATTCTTTCTTCTTCTTGTTTTTCCTCTCTCTGGCGGATGTATGTAGGATAACTGATTGATCACTAATATATAGGAAATGCATGGACGAAGATTCATAGCCATTTGGAAGATTCAATCATATTAACTAATCAACGTAACCCATACGAAGGTGTAGAATAATGAAGTCATGACTATTCAAAAAAAGAACAAAAACGAAGTCGTATTGAAAGACGCGTGTAAATTTAAGTAGGGCTTGGAAAGAGCAGTGGTATCAAAGTCTTGGTCGTTTGTCATTTTTATGTAAGTTTTTATTAGGATAGTAGTGATAATTTAGTGGAAGTCTTGATGGTTTGTCTTTCATATAACTGAGTCAGTTGATATGGACTCCATGGGAGTGTCTTGTAAGATAAACATGATAGGAATAAACAGTATAGAAATCAACTTAAAACATACTAATAAAAGGTAATGCGAGAGTCTTTCTTTTGGATCTAGTGTGTTATGCAAACACAAAAATGAAAAAATTATTTAGCAACATTCAAATCTGACTCGGTATTTAATGCCTCTATGGAGATGCTAGTTGAATTTTCATGGTCAGTGCCAGTATTACACAAGATACCTAACCCTTCTCAAATGAAAGAGTTTAGGCCCATTTACACATTTTTATGTGAATAATACTTTTTTAATATTATTTATCGAGATTACATCCAAACAATATTATTTACTAAAATGATGCTCTTTTGATAAAGTACCTTACAAAAGACGTGTCTTTGCCTACGTGACAGGTCATTTGGACAGTTTATTCAACACTGGCGTTACTTAAGTCCAAAAATAAAAGAAATGAAGAATAATGGGTCAAATTGTATGAATTTTGTTCAAAATGAAACAAGGCATGCTATTAGTGTCGAAGACACATATTTGCACAACGATCAACATGATAGCTTCGCATATGTATAGATCTTACATTCAATCATTCAATGATTGTATGTTTAAAAGATAATATTTAAGCACTTGGACAAAATTAACACTTTAGTCAAACTAGAACAGCCCTATGTCAATTCCAAATACTTAATGGTAATTCGAACTTATTATTAATCCAATAATTTGATTCCTTCTTGCCTTGTATCCGTTATTCTTTTCCAGTCACAATCAATCAGATTTTACTCCTCTGTATGTCAATGCCCGCCTAACTCAGTTGGTAGAACTCAAGGCTCTTAATCTCGTGGTCGTGGGATCGAGTCCCACGGTGAGCAATTCATAATTGGAGGTTTTCCACGGAAGTTGCTCTCAATCTGACGTTGGGGCCAGTCTACTACCCTACCTCCCCTTACCCCCATTACATATGGGAATAGGGACAACTAATTTTTTTGTCATAGTTTAGTATATGTTAAAATCCAATCATTTTACCACTTCTATTTTTCATATTTATTTTATTTTAAGCAAGCAAAAAGGGCTTTCAAGTAGGTGGTTAATTCAAAAACATATTCATTCCTACCACATTATACAGTAGCCGTTGTTGGAAATCGAATAGTTGGCGTAAATTCATCTTAAAATCTAAACATATGTATGAGCCAATCAAAGCTTCCCATGACATGCATCTTATACAAAATGAAATTTCAGAAAATTAATACATCTCAACATATAAATATTCTAGAGATATGATCCGTTGATCATGTTTGTGATAAACAATCTTGAAATGCAATGAACAAACATCAAAACAAAACAAAAAAAAGTAAATGTACGAATGAACATGATAAATGTTCAGTATGCATGCAAACTAATTTATCTACAGAAAAATGAAGCAATCCAAGGAAATAAGAGGATTGTCAATGTCCTCCTCCATAGTAACCGACTCATTTTCTTTCTGCGATGACAGAGCTGCTCTCAGCGCAGTTTCGTCAATTTTCGAACTAATTCGATGAACCAAAGTCTCTCTATTTCTCAAACAAGACTTCAATGGAGTAGTTGGATCATGGCTGTTCAGCTTCGGACTCGAAACCCTTAAATTTTCCCTCTTTTGAGAGGAAGAAACCAAGTTGAGTGCATTCACCTTGGGACCAACGATTCGCTTTGATGAGCAAATTTCCTTGGACGTACTTGCCAATAATCCTCGATAGTTATTATTATTGTTGTCTCCGTTAAATCTCCTGCTTGGTGACGGCGACCTCAAAACCCTACTTGGTAAATAATTATATGCAGAGTTAAGCCTATAATCAGGGTCCTTCCGGAAGCTCTTTTGTCTCGTTAAAGTTGACGGTGAATTCGACCGTCCTCTCTTCTGCGGTGTACAGCCTTTCTCCCTCGTCGGACTCCCCTGTTTCGCCAGTGCCACCACCGGTTTAACCGGCGTGTTCGATATCTGAGAAGGAGATTTAGTGACAGCTAACGTACGAGAAGCTTCCTTGATTGAATTAATACGGACAATATGAGGGTTTTCCTTAACACATGCCCACAAAAACTCATTGGAAAAGGATCGATCCTTGGAGCTCAACACCGATGAAGCCGAGCTCAAAGCCGAAGAACATGAACCAGTTGCAGTGCTGATGGTGGAACAGGTGAAGGAAGAAACTGAAGAAGAGGATGAGATGGTGGGGGAAAGAGGCAATGGGGAGATTTTCTTTGTGAGGGGAATGGGAGTTTTGGGAGCTTGTTGTGATGATGAGATGACAAGCTTGTCTTGAACATGACTGAAATCCTCGATGTAACATTTCTTGGGTTTGCATTTGCTGATGCAACAACCCATTTTGTTTTTTGTTGGTTTCTGAGTTCATAGATGATTAAGCAACTCGGTTTTATACAGTCGAGGTTGTTGGATTTGGACAAATGGTAAAGCGTTGGCTTTTGCTTTTTGTGTTCATTACTTTTACTTTATCATGTGGGTGTTTTGAATTTTGTTAGCGGGTTTCAAACCCGTTATGTAACGGTCACATATACAAAAGAAATTATGAAACGGAGGAATGTGTGTAGTGGCAAGTGGGGGAGAATTTTTATTTGAACTATATTGCTCCTTTACCTTCAGCAACAGCTTTATTTTAAGACAACGTTTAATATTTCTATGAAATTTCAAGTTTTGTTTTTCTTTTTACTATTTCGAAACTTGATCTATTTTTACAAGGTATAATTTCAAAATTAGCCATCAAAGTTTATTAAAATGATAATTTTGATATTTTTTTTTGAGTATTTTGGCCCAACCTTTCATTTTAAGGTAAAAAAATCTCTTAGTGGATGAAAATCGTTAGTTAACAAATGATTAACGCTTCAAAATAGGGTATTTTTACCCTAAAATAAAATGTTGAGGGTCAAAATGTTCCAACAAATGAATAAAGGTCAAAGTGACTATTCAATCAAACATTAAGAGTTTTTTTTTATTTTAAAATGAAACGTTGGAATCAAAATGCTCTAAAAAAAAGATCGATATGAATATTTTAATAAATATTACAGGTTAATTTTGACATTATACCCTTTTATATAACATCCTCAGTAATATAATACACCTCAAAATATTAAATTTACTCACCTTAATATCTTTTTAACTATAACAAACAAAACTATATACTCAAATTCTAAGAATTAAAAACTTAAATCTTATCTTAATTACAATTCTAAACCCTAAATTCTAACTTTAACATTAATCAAAAATCATAAACCTTACATGTTGCCTTATCATTATTATTTGTTAATTTTATTCATTTAATTTAAAATAATATATTATTTAGAAGAACTGTTTTAGGGTTGGAGAATGCATGGTATTGATATTATATTATATTATATTATATTATATTATATTATATTATATTATATTATATTATATTATATTATATTATATTATATTATATTATATTATATTATATTATTATTTATATTATATTATATTATATTATTATATTATATATTATTATATTATATTATATTATATTATATTATATTATATTATATTATTAGAAAATGAAGTGACATGTTTTTATTAGATCCCAAAAAAAGTGAAATATTTATGATTACGATCATAAAATTCAAACCCCTTAGGAATAGGGAAAATTAATACAAATTAGAAAACGCCTCTCTTCCTAATCAATCTACTAAAAGTTAACCCAAAATCAAGTACATAATCATCACTATTTATTAAAGAAATTCAAACCCCGACAACTTGGTATGAGTTTCAGATAAATAAAAATTACTTGCTTTAGGATTTCATTTTATAAGTTAGTATTTGATATATTATTAGTGAAATATTTCAATTCCACAAATAATATTTAAATATTATCAAACGTTCTAGAATTTAAATTTTAAATTCTAAATATATAAACCTGAAACTATAAAATATAAATCATAATCCCTTGATATTACCTGTCATCTATCTAGTATTGTTTATAGAGTTAAAATATGAAATAATTTTGTTTATTTTTATTGAGGACAACCCAGGTAGAGCATGTCAGCTAAATTCCCTAGCCCATACTTTGAATGGTTAGGCCCAAGTTCAATATATATCTCACTTCATACTCCGTGTTGGTTTGACGACGGAACCACACATTCTCTTTATTTGGTAGGTAAATAAGAAAATAATGAATATATACTATTATTAGAAATATTACTCTAGATATGTTCTACTTTGTAAAAAATATGTTACATTTTTAATATCATATATAACGTAGCGGAGTAAATGGACTGGTCTTGAACGAATAAGGATACGTTCGTGTTCGATTATTTATTTTTGAAGATGTTAATGATTGATTTGTGTTCGTTTGAATTTTTAATATTGTGTTCATGTTGATTTGTTTATTTTCGAAGTTGTTTGGTTCGTTTCACGTTCGTCAACACATTCGTTTAGCGTTCGTCAACGCTAAACGCGTTTGTTTAGCGTTCACGAACATGTTTGTTTATATGTTCAGAAATGATGAAATTATGTCAATAGTCCTTAAGTTCATTAGGTTTCACAATTTGAACTCCATAGTTCACATTGTGTTTAATTTAGTCCTATCTTCACCAATATTTAAAATGTAAAAAATTAAAAGGAAAAGAAGGATCGGATAAACAAGCATTCAAATGAATATTATTAATTTATACGTAGGAAGATCTCTTCGGAGCTGTCATTCGTAGGAAGTATTATTAATATATACGAATTGAGTTTTATAAGTGCTTTGGGTCCTTTTTGGACCACAAATTTTCATAATATTATTCTCCAATAGATGCTGCATTCCATCATGCTGTTCCCTCTTCTTGATTTACTATAACCCTTTTTCTCTTTTTTAAATTTGTCTGTGTTGAGTTTGTGACAAGAGAAGCTATCCATTCCAAACCCTGGAATATGACACAAATATTTTAAAATAATTTTCTTATTACTCACGTTATTCCATTTTTATTATTTTCTTTAAAGATATTTATACTTAATTGTTGTGTTCATCAATTAAATTTTCTATTTAAGATGTTCCGGTTAAAAATTGAAGGAGAAGGGCGATCGACTGGTCTTATAAATTCAATTGATTAATCTGGGTTAAACTACTTTACGGATGTTTATATTAAAGTTCAAAGTGTAAATTCAATTACTCTATTGAAAAATAACAATTTAGTTTTTGGGTTTACATTTAGTATTTATACTCTGCAAAACTTTATTTAATTATTTATAACTTTTATATAATCATTCAATATTTATTTTATAGGTTGACTAATTCGAATACCGTAAAAATTATTATAGGACTATCCTTTCAATTTGTTTTGGTTCATTCACAATGTCAAAATTCAAACTTTAAATGTTATTTAAAGGATTTAATACATCGTCTCACTAGTCAAATTGATAGTTAATATTTAAGGGTTTGAATATGCTTTTAAGGGTTTTGATGGGAGGTTCAGTTAAAAGTCAAGCATCAAAAATCTCATTCGAACGGCTCAAATCGATTTGTCTCGATGAAAATGAGAAAGTTATGATAGAATTTTATTTTTTGATTGCCTTTATGAAATAATGATTCAATTTAAATAATCGTTGATAACTTCTGTGTATTTTTTTTTTTTACTTTCATGAGTTCTATATTAATAATAATTAGTCAATTTTCAAGCATGGTTTATAATAGTAAGTAGGCTTAAAGCGCGAACTTGACTTATCTTGTTGTATGCTTGGTCAACGTTGACGTAAATGCACTAAATCCTTTCCAATTATCCTATCTGATATCTTCTAAAAGATCCTCAACGTTGTCAAAATCACCTTTCCATGTTCTTTGAATTACTTGAAATGGCCCTCCGTTCCTCTTCTCCTTCATGTGGGGTCATTTCTTTTGTATCTTTATAATAATGCCAGATGTACTTATAATGTGAATCCAAAATGTTCACCTTTTCAAATTTCTCATTTTGACCGATAAATTGGGTACATCAATACATGGTCTAATTAAATATTTTCTTAACATAAATAACAAATCAGATAAAAATTAATATATTTTGCTGTGTTTATTATGTGTTTCCTACAAAATAATCAAGTCTACTTGAAGGCCAAACTCAAATTCTGCAAGAATTCTCAATTAATTACAATTGAAGTGGCATGTGAATAAAAATACCAACGAACATATAACACGCCACTTTGACATTAAGGTGACAATGACAGTGACAGGCACAGCTTACAACAACACTTCCCCTTAAAACGACAAACAGATATGCAAGGAACAATCTTTTTTTTTCATTTTTTGCAAAGCATAAAAGCAACAGGAGAATTTTGAAGATAAGAATAGAAAAGTAGGTTGTAGATGAATGTCGAAGAAATCAAGGGTGTGGAAATATCTTGACAGCACTCTTGTTGCACCTGGAAAAGGATTTAGCTATGCACTCAACCATCATGTCCTTGACGAGCTTTTTCTTCGCCGGGAACACACTTCCTTTCTTCTCCCGAAACCCATATGATGTCCCTTTTCTGCCTCCGTCTGCCTTTGCCCCGGCGCCTTCTCCACCTTGGTTTCGCCTAAACTCCATGCTTCTTGTGAAATGTGAGAGTGGGTGGGGCATTCTGAGATTAACATTCCTCTTATCTATTCCACCAATTTGATGGAAAATGATGTCATCGGGAAGCAAAACAGAATCTTTGTTTAGGGTTATTTTTTCCCACTTCATATTAATTGCTTTCATATTTACACCTTGATCCCATCTCCAACTTTTTAGCTTTACATAATTAAATTGACCACTTTAATCCCACTTCATATATAAACTTCACATAATTAAATTGACCAAAACTAAACCATGAGGCAATTTTTAACGTGCGATTCCTTTACAAATGACTAGGATTAATTATTAACTCTCCTCTAATCTTTCTAGAAACTCTGCTGATTTTTATCAAGTTCAAATGGTCTCTCCACCCTGTTACGCACAAAAAGATGAAGAACCCGCCAAGAAACCATACCCCGTTTCACAATAATTTCAAGTCCCAAATAAATCCAAACGCTACTTTCCAATTGAAACGTAAAGTTACATTTATGTAAAGTCAAATTTGAATGACTTATATAGACACCACATATAATTATTAAAATTTATTATAAAAATACATTTTTATCTATTAGTTAATAAATAAAGGTTCATTCGCTCTTCAATATTATGAGGTTTTATATATTGATTCTTAATGGTGATGTTAGGCCTAGGGTTATAATAGTTATTTGTAAACTGACAAAGTAAATGAATACGATTTTCTGATATTAGATTTGATCATTGACAAATCTCTTGGGTTACTAATGATTTTGTCTAGTCGAATTATATGAAACTTTAGAGATTTTAAATCACAAAAGAATTCATCTAGAAACCTTGATTGGTAAAGGAATAATTGTTGTAAAGTTATTCTTGA